TCTTAACCTTTCTGTGCCTCAATTTCCTCCCACATAAAATAGGGGACACACATAGCACTTCCTTTGGGGTAGGGACTGGCCAGTTGGGGGCCTGAACCAGCCTGGCTGTGTGTCCTCTGCCACAGTCGCCCACCACTAAGCGCCGAGTCTGTCCTGAGCTACTCTGCCTCTGCTCAGAGTTGGCTTTTCACATGCTCAGATGTCCCTAACTCCTTGCTGGAGCCCTCCTTCTGAGACCCCTGCATTCTCTCTCTTCCTCTTACTCCCACTGCTTGCTACAAAGCCCCCTCTAGCATTAAACATCCCTCATTTCACTCACAGTCTCACTGTGTCACTGACAGGTCAGCTCTGAGGCTCATGAGGACAAAGCCACTGATCCACAGTCACATGGCTTGCAAATCTCACAGATAGGATCCCTCAGTGAAAGAGAGCTGAGAATTGATAGGAAGGTCTAAATGCAAGCCTTTCTTTGATGTGCTGCAGCATGGGAACTGGAAACATCCACTGTTCACCATCATCTGGAAATGTGGGCCTCTCTGTCCCTGGGTGCCAAGTACTGGAGCACCACTGGGCTCTGGGGTCTATGGACTAAAGTCTTCTTTCTCAGATAGAGGGGCAGGCCTCAGTTGGGAAGCCCAGACTGTCTCTGCCACTGCACCCCTTAAGTTAGCCCAGGCTATGACTGTGGCCCACTATCACCCACTACCAGTTCCAAGTCTAATAGGTGGGGTAGGGCCTAGGATCCCCTGCTGGGGTGGGAACTTTGGTCTGACTCCATACTGCCAAGATCTTCCAGGCCGGGGGGGGTCTCTCTCCCCCCCCCCTCAAGGCTCACCACACATCCACAGGTGCAGGGATGAAGGCCCATGCCTGCCCCCCAGGGCTCTAGAGAAGCCTAGCCCAGCCCCAGGGTCAGAATCCCAGCCAGACCTTCTGGGGGCACTGTCCAACTCTAACCCCTCCTCCCCACCTGGAAACCCAGGAAAGGGGAAGCCCATGGGGCAGAAAGGTGGACCTGGGGAAGGGAGGGAGGCCAGTATGTGTGTGAGTGATGGTTGAGCCTGAGTCTATCCTTAATATTCAGATCATGAACAGCCCTGGAGGAGAAAGAGCCCCAAAGGAAAGAACAGAAGGAAAAAGATGCTCTCTGGGGCTGGTGAGATGGCTTAGAGAGTAAGGGTGCTTGCTGCCAAGTCTGACAACCTAAGTTCCATTCCTAAAACTCACATGGTAGAAGGTGAGAACTGATTCCTACAAACTGTCCTCTGATCTCCACATACCTCTGTGGCACTCACATACAAACACACATACACACACACAAACACACACACACACACACAATCAATCAATCAATTAATCAATCAATTAATAAATGTTGGGAGGTAGAGGCACATGTGGGTATCTATGAGACCAAGGCCAGCCTGGTCTACATAGCTAGTTCCAGGCCAGCTGGGGCTACAGGGCCTTTAATCCCAGCACTTGGGAAGTAAAGGCAGGCAGATCTCTGTGAGATTGGGACCAGGCTGGTGCTGCACTGTCAAAAAAAACCAAAACAAAACAAAAAAAAAACAAAAAGGGCTAGAGATGGCTCAGCAGTTAAGAATACTGGCTACTCTTGCAGAAGACCTGAATTCAATTTCTAGCACCTACATGGCAGCTAACAACAGTCTGTAACTCCAGACCAACTCCCCCTCTGACCTCTGAACGCTCTGGCCTGTCACTAAGAATAGTGTCTAGAACAGTGTCCACCCAGAGCAAGTGGGTGCCGGCTTGAGTCTACATGTAGCCTCAGGGTGGGAGAATCTGGGGAAGACACAGAGTCATCCTGGAGTCTACAAGGACCTCACTTCCCCAGGGTAGGCCCACAGCTCAGAACACCTAGCAGAAGCAGAGACAGGCATAGTCTGGTGACCCAGGTTCAAACCCAGTTCTGCCACCACCTGGTGGGCAAGCCATTCAATCCCTCAGTGCCTTGGTCTCTTCATTTATAAAAGAGAAAAGGTAGCCGGGCATGGTGGCACACACCTTTAATCCCAGCATTTGGGAGGCAGAGGCTGGCGGATCTTTGTGAGTTCAAGGCCAGCCTGGTCTACATAGTGAGTTCCAGGACAGCTGGGGCTACAGGGAGACCCTGTCTCAAAAAAAGACAAAAAAATAAAAGAGAGAGAAAAAGTGACTAGACCCTTCGTCATAGAGTAGAGATGAGGGGCCTGCAGCCAGCACCCTGGACACAGCAACAGTCTAGCAACCTGGGATCTGAATGTGCCCACCTATACTGCCTCCTCCAAGAAAGACCCTCAAGACCAGGAGCACACCAGGGTTCCTGTGACTCACCTCCCTGGCAGAGCTTGCTTCCTGAGACAGGTCACCACAGGCAGATTGGGGCTTCTCCAGGCATGTGGGAGTCTGGGAGTGTGGTGGGGTGAGAGAATGCAGGTCCCAGCATGCCTCAGCCCCACCCTGTGACAGAGCTCTGGAGGACACAGGTAGCCTGGGCTCTGCCCCACACTGACCTCCCTCTCCATACCTCAGACCCTTTCTCTGTGCCTGGGAACACAGTGCAACCCCAAGGGGCCCACATATGACAGGACTGACCTGCTGTCAGGATACTTGCAGGCCAAGAGGCACTTCCAGGTCAGCTGGCCCTTCTCCTAATGTGTTCTAGAGCCACCAAAGGTCACCCCTAACTGGACACAGAACTTGGGAAGAGGACAGAGAGCCACCTATGACTTCCCTGTCACTGCAGGCAGAAGGGCCATTCCAGAGGGTTTCCACGGGAAACATTTAGCTTGGGCTAATTGGGACATTAGCTTGGGCTCTGAGGGATGGATAAGAGTTCCTAGGCCTTAAGACGGGGTCTGAGATAAGAGGGTAAACATAAGCTCTAGTCTTCAATTTAAATGCGTCCACCCCTTGGCCAAACACTGCATTACAGAGATCAGATTCTGTAGCACTAGGAAGATAGAGGCAGGATGTTCAGGAGTTCAAGATCAGCAAGTTTGAGGCCAATGTAGACTACAAGAAACTGTCTTAAAAGACTGGGGGGAGGGGTGACTTATTAGCTAATGCTGCTTGCTGTGTAAGCCTGGTGACCTGAGTTCAATCCCTGGGATCCAGATAAAGGTGGAAGGAGAGAACAGATTCCACAAACTTGCCCTTTAACCTCTACATCTGCTCATCACACACACACACACACACACACACACACACACACACACACACACTAAATAAATAAATTAATAAATAAATAATTTTAAATAGGTAGGTTGGTGCTAGAGATGGCTCAGCGGTTAAGAACACTGGCAGTTCTTGCAGAAGACCCAAGTTCAATCCCAGCACCCACATGGCAGCTAACAACTGTCTGTAACTCCAGTTCCAGGGGATCTGACGGCCTCTTCTGTCCTCCTCGGGCATTGCATGACATGGGTGCACTTACCTACATGTATACATAACACTCACACAGATAAAATAAAAATTAAAAAATGGAGCCAGGCATGGTGGTGCACGCCTGTACTCCCAGCACTTGGGAGGCAGAGGCAGGCGGATCTCTGTGAGTTCAAGGCCAGCCTGGTCTACATAGTGAGTTCCAGGACAGCTGGGACTACAGGGAGACCCTGCTTCAAAAAGACAAAAAAAAAAATTAAAAATAGGTAGGTCAATACTCAGTGCCCACAGTGGCTGGAAAGGTGGACCATCATGAAAAATGCCACAGTGACTGGACACTGGAAATGGTACATGAGCTGCTGAAGCATCATTTGGGTGTGGGGGCAAGCAGGAGTAATGGTGGGAGCAGAGGGGATCAGGTGGAACCCAAGATGCTTAAGATCTGCTAGAGGCCAAGTCAGAGTGGCTGGTGGGTTCACAGCTATCCCATTAAGGGTGAGGCCAGGAATCCTTTCTGCCTGCCATTCCCACTGTCAGCAGGTCCCTGTCCTCCCTGAGTCATGGTCTCCACCTCATGTATAAATGGGGTGATAATAAAAGCCAGGACAGGTGCCAAAGACAGCAACATCCGAGGTGGGGTTCAACAGACCTAGCAGAAACCCAGCCACAGTGTGATGGACAGCCAGCCACAGTAGTGTTGACACGGGCTAGAGACATCTCTGCTTAGGTGACACATGTACGTGTTCATGAGCATCCATGGACACCTGCACTTCATGCCAGAAGCACCCCTGAGCTGCTGTGATTAAAGCATCTCTTAGCATGGTGGCAGGTGTCCCAGGCTTGGGAGCAGAGGATGGTAAGGGGATGTGCAGTATCCTATGCAACGCAAGTCTCAGTGGCAGATCTGCCTGGCCTCAGCTACTCATTAGTAAATGGACATGTTGGTGCTTCCTTTCAGAGTTGTTGGGGGGGGCACCCCAGGACAGTAGAGATGAGGGAGGGAAGGTTTCAAAAGTCCTAACACCTGTTTACCTTCCCTGGCTCCTGTCAGCTGGAGGCTGACTTGTTCTCAGGAAAGAGCACTGGGCTCCATTCCTAGATGTGGCCCTTGTCATCGTCCTTAGGTGACATGCACGGGGCAGGAGGGCTGTGTTGTTCCTGCTCGCCATGGTAACCCTGATGAGTCACAGTATCTGGCAAACAAGAAGAGCTTAATAAATGGTGGAGGGCCAGGGCTGGCAAGACTGCTCAGTAGGTAAAGGTGCTTGTCACTAAGTCTGATGACCTGAATTTGATCCCTGGGACCCACATGGTAGGACAGAACTGATTCCTGCAAGTTGTTCTCTGACCTCACAGATATGACGAGGTACATATGCACCCCCTCCATAAGTAAGTAAATAAATAAACAGTGGAGGCCTTTTGAGTAGTCCATCACACAGATTAAAGCTCAAGCTGAGGAACCTGGGCAGAAGGGAGAAGGGCGGGGCTCTAGGTCACAAGAGGCCAGTCCTGCCTACAGAGCAAAGCCAAGGTGCCCTTCCACTCCCACCAATTGTTCCCAGAACCTTCTCTCCTGTCTGGTCTGGGAGGTGAGGCTGGCCCCTCACTATACTCACATTTCCCAAGGAGGAGAGGCCTGCAGAGCCCAGCCACCTCCACAGAGCCTGAGGGAAGGTACCGTGGTCCTGCTCCGCCTTCAGTACGTGGGCTTCCAGGAAGGCAGCATGGTGCCCAACCATCTTGACAAATGCCTGGCCAAGGGACAGAGGGTGATGTCACATTCTGAGCACACTTCTGTGAGTCTTTATCACTCCCACTGAGCTCCCTTCACCCAGCACCCCCGCCACTCCAGACACCTGTTATGACAGCCACAAGCTCCCTCTGGCCACCTGCCTGGTCCATGCTATGGACTCACCTGCTCCCATAGTGAACCTGTCCTCAGCCTCCGTGTTACAGAGGACAATTGAGACTCAGAGAGGTCGGGTCACCTGCCCAAAGTCATAGTGGTATATTTATCAGCAGTCAAAGCCTTCTTCATTGAAAATAGAACTTTTAGAAATAGCCCAAAAGGTATAGAGTGGAATTCAAGAGGCCACCAGAGTCTGGACAGGAAGCATGCAGGTAGGGACTGCCAGGACTGGGCCCACAGAGGCTGCCCAGCCCTAGACCTTGAGACCTCTTGCTACTTAGGGTGCTGAGGATGGAACCCTGGGCCTTTCCACATGCTAGGCAAGTACTCTAACCACTGAGCAACACCCCAGCTCTTGGTTTCTTGAGACAGGGTCTCACATTGTAGTCTAGGTTGGCCCCAAACTTCTAATTATTCCATCTGAGCCTCCCTGACTGTTGGGGTTACAGATGTAGGCCCTCTCACCCAACTAGCTTTGATGTGTGTGTGTGTTGCGTGTGTGTTGTGTGCGTGTGTGTATGTGCGCGTGCACGTGCGCGCATGTCCATGTATGGAGACAAGAAGTCAACATTGGGTGTCTTCCTGTGTCTTTCACCTTTCTGAGACAGAGTCTCTCTCATTGAACCTGGTTCACCAATTCTGCTAGACTGGCCAGCCAGCCCTGAGAACCCACCTGTCTCCCCATCCCCAGATTAGGTTATGGTTACATGTCTGGCTGAAGAGTCTTCAGTTCTTCAGAGTAGCCCAAAATAATGCACACCATTTAAAAACCATGTGCAGTCTCTATTATCTCCCTTCAAACTCAGCTCGTGTGTGTGTGTGTGTGTGTGTGTGTGTGTGTGTGTGTGTGTGTGTGTGTATGTGTGTATATATATACAGTGTGGATGATTGTATGTATGTGTCTGTGCATGAGACTGGGTATAAGTGCTTGTGTGTGTGAGCATTGTCTGTCCATGTATGGGTAGGGGTAGTCATGGACCACATCCAGAAAGCATCTTCTGACAGGCTTCTACCCTGAAGCTGGGGCCTCTAGGCTGCACATCTGGCTGGAACCTGGCTGCAGACGATTCCAATTTTACACTGCTATAGTGGACTGGAGAGACCTAGAGGGAAGAAAGGCCATGAGGCATGTATTCCCAGGAAACAAGCCTCCTAGTCAGGGCTACTGCTTCTGTTGGTCAATCCAAGCCCCAGGCCAGCCCTGATAGCCAGCGACATGCCTGTCCATAGCACAGGCCCAGGGACAGTGAACTTCATCTCCCTGATGACCAGGTGCTGGGGCACTAGTTTCTGGGAACTCTTTGGGGAAAATATGCCACTCTGCAGTCCACTGGATGGGAAGGGGAGGAAGCTCTGAGATACATCTACAGTGGACCAAGCTTTACAATGGGACCCTATCCAGAAGGGGCTCTAACACCCAGCACTGAGCCACCTTGCGTGAATTACTCCTGTGTCCCCTACTCTGTGACATGGAGTCACACCCCTGGATTGCTGGAGGCTAAAGGCAGGTCTACACATGAAACCCTTAGAGCTCTGGTTCAGTCACCCCTCAACAGAAGGCCCATCTGCTGGCCTTGGGGTCACCTCAGAGTTTCCCAAGCCTAACTGGTGAGCCACACTTATTCTGAAGGCAGAGCCGTCATGAGCTCTGTGATAGCCAGGAACACTATAGTCACCTGGGCCCCTGGCTAGCAGGGCAGAGTGGTGATATCAACCCAGACCAGGTCTGTCTTTATCAGCCTGTGACAAATATAAGTGCCCTTGGGGTGGGCATCTGGCTCAGTTGCTAGCTTTGTGTTCATCCAGCATGCACAAAGAATGGGATTAAAAGCATGTGCTACCACACCTGGCCTTTTATTCTTTCTTTAAACAGGGCCTCACTTGTCTGGAGCCTGTTGGTTTGGCTGGCTGCTCAGCGAGGCTCAAGCACCCTCCTGTGTCCTCCTCCCCAGCACTGGGATTATAAGTGTGCGCCACCACATCTGCTTTTACACAGGTTCTGAAGGTTGAATTCATGTGCATGGCAAACACTGAGGCTTCTCCCCCATGAGATCCAAAGGGATTCCTCTTATCTGCAGGGAACACATTCCAAGACCCCCAAAAGGAGACTGAAACTGTGAACAGTACTGAAATGAAGGTATGCCATTTCTTTCCCTAAACCTATTACAATACTTTATAAATTAAGCACAGCAAATCAGTAATAACTAATAGAACATTGCAACTGTTTAGGGCTGGAGAGATGGCTCAGCAGGTAAGAACAGAGGACCTGAGTTCAGTTCCCAGCACCCACATGGTGGCCAACAACCACCTGTAACGCCAGTTCCAGGGGATCCAACACTCTCCGTGGGCACTGCACACAGAGGTGCACTTACACACATACAGGCAAAACACTCATATACCTAAAATAAAAATATTGAAATAAAACTGAGTTGTTTATTTTTAGAATTTTCCAGAATATTAATTTTTCAAAAAAGTTATTGTATATGTGTATATGATGTGTGCACATGTTTCTGTATAAGAGCAGGTGTGTCCCATAGCACATGTGTCCCATAGCATACATGTGGAGGTCAGAGGACAAACTTTGGTGTCCATCCTCCAGCTCGATTTTGTTTTTAAATATTTTTAAATACTTTTTATTAAAGTGTGTGTGTGTGTGTGTGTGTGTGTGTGTGTGTGTGTGTGTATTCTCACATGAATACAAGTGCCTGCAGATGCTACCAGAGGGTATTGGATACATGAAGTGGGAGATATGGGCACTGGGAACTGAACCTGGATCTTCTGGAAGAGCAGCAAATGCTCTTAACCATTGAGCCATCTTTTCTGTCCCTCTTTGTTTTTTAAGGCAGAGTCTCCCTTGTTTGTTTGCCACTGCTCTGTATACTCCAGGCTAGCCAGCTGGGACTTCCTGGGCTTCTCCTGTCTCCACTTCCCATCCCCAAAGCAGGAATGCTAGGATTAGAGACATTTGCAGTTTTCACATGGGTTCTGGAGTCTCAAGTCAGGCTGGCGCAGCAAATGCTTTTACAGCTGAGCCCTCCTCCTGGCCCCATAGCACATTCATTTCAATATTAAATTTCTTGACTGAGGTTGGCTGTGGGCAATAGAAACCATGGAACATTAAACTGTAAGGGTGCGTTGCTGGGATCACCTTGAACTGTTTGGGGCTAAGGGGGTACAGTAACTGTAATCCCTTGGATGGCACCATCTCTGTCAGAGTGGGGTCCAAACTCAGCTTGTCCTTCTGCTGCCAGCACACACCTGTCCCTGACGTGGAGCTCCACAAGCGCCCACAAGCACCCAGAGGACTTCTTCTTTGCTTTGTTTGCTCTTCTGAGTCAGTCTCATGTAGCCCAGGCTGGTCTCCAAGTCACTCCAAGCTAGCTAAGGCTAGCTTTGAATTTGGCACCTGCCTCAAGATGGCATATAACTCCACAGAACATCCCTATAGGGACTGTGCATGTGACCCAGTAAAATGCTTGCTTAGCATGCAGAAAGTTCTGGGTTTCATCCCCCATACCACATAATCTAGACATGGTAATTTTAGCAGTCAAGAGGCCAAGCAGGAATCCAGGGCCAGGTGTGGTGGTGCACACCTTTAATCCCAGCCCTGGAAAGGTAGAGACAGGTGGATCTCTGTGAATTCTCTGTGAGACCAGCCTGATCTACATAAAGAGTTCCAGGCCTTTAATCCCAGTACTGGAGAGGTAGAGACAGGTGGATCTCTGCGAGTTCTCTGTGAGGCTAGCCTGGTCTACATAGAGAGTTCCAGGTCAGCCAGGGCTACATAGTGAGACCCTGTCTCAACCAACTAATCAACCAACCAACCAACCAACTAACCAACCAACCAACCAACCAATCCAACAAATAAACAAAAAGAGCATCCTTCTGGTAAACTCTCCTTCTATATGGAAAGGAGGCCCTGCCCCTGGGCTATCTGGCAAAGTCTAGATATATATTTGGTGCTTGTGACTGGAGAGTAAGGAGGGTAAGGTGTTGAGGATCTTATTGGTGGGGCCTGGGTGCTGCTAAGCACCCTAGATGCACAGGACAGGCCACAGGACTCTTCCAGCCCACAGGCAGTGCCAGGAGGCCTACATGTCTAACCACTAGGCTGCACCATCTCTTCAGTGGCTCCTTCTTGGGATAAAGGTCACAGGATAGCCTCAGGGGGGAAGGCCCAGAAAACCTCCTCCTATAGCCAATTTCCACAGCCTTGCTGGGCTGAGGTCCCCATGACCCAAGTTTCTGTTCCCCATCATCCTTCAGTGTCCCCACCCTAGCCCCTGCCTACCCTCCTGTGCCTACCTCTAACCCCAGGCCTGGTTTCCTCCCCAGCACCCATCTGGCAGAGTGTGTCCTGGTGTGTGGTCTATAGAGGAAGCTTCCCAAGGTGCTAAAGTCTTTGATTTTGTTTTGAGTCAGGGTCTCACTAGGACCCATGGTTGGCTTGGAACTCACTATGTAGACCAGGCTGGCCTCAGACTCACAGAGATCCATCTGCCTCTGCTGCCCGAGTATTGGGATTAAAGATGTGCACTACTACATGGGTTATGGGGTGCGAGGGATAGAACCAGGGTTTCCTGCATGCTAAGCCAGCACTCTACCCACTGAGCCACATCCCCAGCCCACAGTTGGCATGCTGCTTGAAGACACCCAGCTTATTTCTATGGCAACATAAAACCAACATGGCAAAGCTTTACTGAGTATCTCTGGGCAGGATGGAGGTGGCAGGCTATCTTTCTTACTGTGACAGCCCATAGTGGCACACAGTAGGTCCTCAGTCCATGTTTACGGACAACACTGAAAGTCTAAGGCTTGGCAGCTGGGCTGACCCCAGCACTCTGAGACCCTGTTGCAGATCTTCCCTTCCCTCTTTCCAATGTGTGCAATAAAATTCAAATGAATCAGTTATTCCAAGGGCAAAGTTTTAATTATATTCTTCTTCACTCTCTGCTGACAAGAATGTTAATTCTCCAGTAAGTCAGTATCAAGCGCCAAGCTCACTCCCTTTGTGTGCTTAGAGGAGCTGAGTCCCATCTGGCCAGTGAGGGCTTCTGTGGGGTGACTTGGACACCTGGCTCTTGGGGGTACCCCAGGGAAGAGGCTGGCCTCTCAAACCTTCTCTGGGGATAGGGTTGTGGAGGGGATTGGCTGAGCAGTGTAGCAAGGGAAAATAACGCACACACTGTGTCCAGGCTTAGATATGAGGGGAGACAAGTTAGCAGTGGGGCAGCAGGGGACTGAGGGAAACAGGAGAGTTGGGCAGTGATAGCCATTCTCTCTGTCCTCTGTCCTTGAATAAATGCCAGGGGACATAGCCACAGCCCAGGAGAACAGCCCTTCCCCTGACATAGCTCAGACAGCTCTGCCTCTGCCACCTCACACAAGCGTGGCTCATGGGAAAACACACTGGACTATGTACTTATTCATACCTTGAAAGATAAACAATATTCAAATACTTTAAAAAACAAAAGTGGGCTCAGGCTGGGGAGATGGCTCAGTGGGTGAGATGGCTCAGTGGGTGAGAGTCCTTGCAGTAAAAATAAGAGGACTTGCCAGGCACGGTGGCTCGTGTCTTTAGTCGCAGCACTCAGAAGGCAGAGGCAGACAGATCTCTGTGAGTTCAAGGCCAGCCTGGTCTACATAGAAAGTTCCAGGTCAGCTGGGGCTAAAGGGAGACCCTGTCTCAAAAAGACCAAAAAAAAGACTTGAGTTCAAATCCCCAGCACCCATGTAAAAACCAGGCATGGCCACTCATTGCCTAAAACCCCAGCAATGTGGGATACAGAGGGAAGACTATCAGAGTTTGCCAGCTCTCAGCCAAGCTCCAGGTTAAGGCCTTCATGGACACACAACAAGCATTCTTACCCACTGAGCATCTTCCTAGCCCTGAACTTTAAAAAGATGCTTCAGGGGAGCATGGTGAACACCTTTAGGAGGTGGTGAACACTTAGGAGGCAAAGGTAGGCAAATCTCTGTGAGGTCCAAGGCTAGCCTGGGCTACATAGTGAGTTCCAGGCCAGGTGGTGCTACAGGGAGACCCTGTCTCAAAACAAACAAAAAAAGCTTCACATTTCACTTTTATATAAAGGACTTCCTTCCTTCCTTCCTTCCTTCCTTCCTTCCTTCCTTCCTTAGGGTCTCATTCTCTATCTTGATTGGCCTGGAGCTTACAATGTAGCCCACACTGGCCTCAACCTTGCAGCAATCCTCCTGTCTGCCTTGGTATTACACATCATGTAATATAATACATAATAAATAATTCTGAAAAAAAAGAAAAAGCCAGGCCTGGTGGCATACACCTGTAACCCCAGCACTCAAAAGGTAGAAGCAGGAAGATTAGACATTCAAGGTCATCTTTGGCTACATAAAGAATTCAAGGTCAACTCGGACTATATGAAATCCTGTCTCGATAAAAGAAAAAGGCCAAGGTTAGAATGGTAGCTCAGTGGTAAAGCCCTTGCCTGGCATGCCCAAGGCCCTTACTTCCATCCTCAACACCACAAACACAATGAGTGATAGAAACAAGAACCTGGGGCTGGAGAAATGGCTCAGTGGTTAAGAGCACTGGCTGCGCTCACAGAGGACCTGGGTTCAATTCCCAGCACCCACATGGTGGCTAACAACTGTCTATAACTCCAGTTTCAGGGGATCCTACACCTTCTTCTGACCTCCATGGGCATTGCATGACATAGGTGTACCTACCTACATGAAGGCATTACACTCATACATATAAAATAAAAAATAATAAAGCCGGGTGTGGTGGCGCACGCCTGTAGTCCCAGCACTTGGGAGTCAGAGGCAGGCAGATCTCTGTGAGTTTAAGGCCAGCCTGGTCCACATAGTGAGTTCCAGGAAAGCTGGGGCTACAAGGAGACCCTGTCTCAAAAAGACAAAAAATAAAATAAAATAAAATAAAAATAATAGGCCGGGCATGGTGGCGCATGTCTTTAAGCTCAGAGCTCCCAGAAACCTCCATCCCCACACCTGCACGCACCTCCAGCTGGTCCACCTGGGCGTAGATGCTGCGCATTTCTGTCACTTTGGCCCTAAGCAATGGGATGTTTTCTTCCAACATCTGTGAAGTGTCACTTCTAATCTGCAAAGCAAAGCAAAAAGTTTGAGGTTCTCTGCAGGTCACAGTGTCCCCTCACCTCACCCCTAGGGGGATCTGAACACCTAGTTCAGGACAGGGACTAGAGCAGGGACAAGCCTGAGTCCCAAGTGTGAACCAGACTCCTCCCCTGCTAGGACTCAGACGCACCCAGCGACGATTAATGAACCAAGAACTAGTCTTTGTCCCAAACACCTGGCAAAAGGAGTCACAAAGTAAGGACCTTCATTTTCTAAGTCACTGAATGGAAGCCAACAGAAACACACCAAATCTCTTCTCTAAACCAAAGGTGAAGGAAGCCCAGTTTTCACTGCACTGGAATTAATATTAGTGAATCAATAATTACGTTTAATATTTATTAATAATGCTGACAAAATCACATGCTTCCTATACAAAGCACCTGAGGTATTTAAAGAAATGTGGTCCCAGAGTTATTAACACCTCTCAATTCTCAAAAGAAGCTTCAAGTCCCCATCTTTATGTAAAGAAGTTTGATTTTTTTTTTTTTTTTTTTTGGTTTTTTTTTAGCAAGGGTCTCCCTGTAGCCCCAGCTGTCCTGGAACTCACTATGTAGACCAGGCTGGTCTTGAACTCACAAAGATCTGCCTGCCTCTGCCTCCCAAGTGCTGGGATTAAGGGCATGCACCACCATGCCCAGCTTAAAAAAGTTTTTAAAAAAAATTATTCTTTGTCAATTTCAAATATGTATATAGTGAATTCCAGGCCAGCTGGGGATCCAGGGAGAATCTGGCTCAAAAAATAAATCAATAAAACATGTTTATTATGTATCTTGATCATATTCACACACCCCCCAATATCCCCCTTCCAATTTCAAGTCTTTTTTTTGAGACAAAGTCTCAATATGTAGCTCTAGCTGACCTGGAACTGGCTATGTAGACTAGGCTGGCCTTGGACTCACAGAGATCCGCTTGCCTCTGCCTCCTGAATGCTGGGATTAAAGGCGTGCACCACTATGCCTGGCCTTCTTCCTTTTTGTCCAATTTCTGCTGTCTTCGTAGGAATGGATGTGGGGGCCATCCACTGGTGTGTGGCTGTCACACCCCTGATCATTGCCTCTCCCTTCCCCAGCAGCCATAAATTGCTACTAGTTCCTCAGGTAGGAGTGGGGCCTCCTGAGCTTCTCCCTATCCGTGCTGAACGTTGACTTCCGAATCCTTCGTTATTAAAGGCTTATTTTATGTGTGAGTGTTTTGCCTGCATATATGTGCATCATGTGCATGCAGTTCTTGCAGAGACCAGAAAAGGGCATTTGATGTCTTGCAATTGGAATTAACAGACAGCTGTGAGCTGCTATGTGGGTGCAAACAGGGGTCCTCTGCAAGAGCAGCAAGTGCTCTTAACTGCTGAGCCATCTCTTCAGCCCCTACTGGCTTGATCTTGTGCAGGAAACCACAGCTGCTGTGAGCTGGTGAGTGCGGGCCCTGGCATGTCCAGAAGACAGTGACTCACCGCACTTCTTCCCATCCTCTGGCTTTTACATTCTCTTCTCAATGCTCCCTGAGCCTTGGGGATCGGGCAATGATACAGGTGTCTCATTTAAAGCTGAGCACTCAACATATTCTCACCTCTTTGACTAATTAAGCCACTGCATTAGCCACTGCCCACTGCAAAATAAGTTTCTCTGACCAAGGCTGAAAGCAGCATTAATCTGTGTTCCAGGCATATGTGTTTAGAACAGCAACGTCCAGTTTTTAGCACACCTTTTTGCATCCTTTCACCCTCAGGTAGTGTCTGTCTTTTGACAGTAAAGTGTGTTTCTTGGGGGCAAAAAAACCAAAACAAAACCAGATAGTTCCTGATTTTTGATCCAATTGTTAGTCTGTGTCTTTTCATTGGGAAATTGAGACCATTAATATTCAGACTTGTTATTGAACGTTGTGCATCGATTCCTGTCATTTTGTGGATGTCGTATTTGGCTTTTTTCTTCTTCCTCTCTTCACTATCAGTCCAGTATGGTTTGTTCTTTCCTGGGGCCTCGTGTTCGGATTTGCTTTTCTCTTCAGTCAGAAAGATTCCTTCAGTACCTCCCATAGAGCTGACTAGGGGAATCATAAATTCCTTTAGGCTATTTTTATCATAGGACATTTTCATTTTTCTTTCAATTATGACCAACAGCTTTGCTGGGTATAGTAGTCTGGATTGGCAGTTGTCGTCCAGAACTTAAAGTACATCATTCCAAGCCCTTCTGGCTTTTAAAGTTTCTGCTGAATAATCTCGTGTTATTCTGATGGGTCTGCCTTTGTACGTGACTAGTTTCCCACTTCTGAGACAGGCATAGGAGGCAGTTTAGCACCCTGGTAGCCCAGGTTTTGGGTTATGCACACTCTCTTTGGAGTAATACACTTGGCAACCTAGTGCACACACACCCCTCTTCCAACGATGTACTTAGCAACCTCAGAATTCTTCCACACTCACCTCAGAACATGGTGTAAGTTTCCGCATTCCCTGGTAACAATCAAATTTAGGTAGTTTCTATTCAACTGTATCCCCGACCTATCCAGGTATGAATAGAATGGCTAATCTGGCTTGAACTGGTTCTGAGTACATGCACAGCAAAGCAAAACTGTGACTTGTAACAACCTTTTAGGGAGAATCTCTTTTTTATCATCTTATGCCTGAGCATAATTGGGCATGCATATGATTAAAATCAGAGGCATTATGGGAAGAGACATGCAGTAATTATATAATGTGTCAAATACAAAGCCACCCAAGCGGTGGCCTTTGTAACCAGTCCCTCCTTCCTTAGACCCCATAAAGAGAAATCCCGGGCTATAAACCTGGGGCCCTTGGAGACACTCATGTGGTCAGCTGTCAATCTTGACAGTGTATCTTTCCATAACCCACACAATCACTTTGCTCCAAATAAAATTATCTTCAGTCTTTCACAAATCTGTGTGAGCCCTTATTTTCAATTCTTTGGGTGAGGCCCAGACGTCCAACCAATAACAATTTCCATATACTTTCTTTGTTGTGTATACTTATTGTTTTAGTTAGATGAGGGGAGGCTCATCTAACTGTTTGTGTCTTAAATGCCTCCTGCATTTGGATTGGCATCTGTTTTTGGTTTTTTTTTGGGGGGGGGGTCTTTTTGAGACTTGGTCTCCCTGTAATACCAGCTGGCCTGGAACTCGCTATGTGTAGACCAGTTATGTAGGCTTGGTTTTGAACTCAGAGATCCACCTGCCTCTGCCTCCCAAGTATTGGGATTAAAGGCATGTGCCACCATGCCTGGCCTATTGTAATTCTTTTGAAAATGTTTTCTATGCCTTTAGAAAGAGATTCTTCTATGCCTGTAACTCTTCCACCTCATCTTCAAGCTCAGCTACCCTGTCCTCTCCTTGGTCCATTCTATTGAGACATTCCAGAGGTTTTTTTTTTGTGTGTGTGTATGTGTGACTTACTGTTTTATTTATTTTTTGGTCTTTTTGAGACAGGGTCTCCCTGTAGCCCCAGTTGGCCTAGAATTCACTATGTAGACCAGGCAGGACTTGAACTCGCAGAGATCTGCCTGCCTTTGCCTCCCAAGTGCTGGGCCTTCAGGCGTGCACCATCACACCTGGCTTGATTTACTGTGTTTTTATTTCCAGCATTTCAGATTGTTTTTTCAATGTTTCCATCTCTGTTGAATTCCTCTTTTCATCATTTTTTTTCAGTGGTTTGTGTCTTTGAACATATTTTGCATTCTGTCTGGGGTTTCATCTAACTCACTCAGTAGACATTTCCAGGGTCAGTAATTTTTGAAGTCATCAGTTTTTCATACTTAATGTTCATGAATTGAGATTTTTAAAAAATATATTTTAACAAGGAGGCCAAGGAGACCCCACCAGATGGACTTGAACCAGTGTCCAGTCTATAAAGAGGAGGGTCAACACAGAGGAATCATTTCCTCCATGCTTCCAAGAGAAGCCAACAATGGTCGAGCAGGACCTTTGACTTATCTTCACGTAGATGGAACT